TGCGTGTCGTGTGGGAAGTGGTGTGGATGTATCGGCCAAGAATCCTTCGTTCGTCTTCGGAGTCTTCGGGGGCGTTCCGTCTCCCGCAACTGGCGTCGGAGCAACTCCCGAAAGGAGATACGAAGTCGATGAGGGGGCCGGGTGGTTGAGGTGTCGTCGCTGGTGGTGGAAGTGGCGATGGGCTGTGTGCTGGTACTTGAGGCTGCGGGTTGTTGTGCGGGTCGGTGGCCTGGTGGAGCTTTTGGATAGCTGGGTGCGTGCCATTGTAGCCGAGGTCCACGGAGCGATCTTCGAAGTTCTCGCTCCCACAGCGCCTGCACCGGATGATCTCCGTCTTGGCGCTGGCGCAGTTGCCGCGAGACTTGCAGAGGCTGCAGTAGAAGGGCGGCGTTAATCCATTCGAAGATCCTGATGATGAGGGAGCGCCACGAGGTTCTGCAATCTTCGGGATTGCCACCTGGTCGAGTTCGGCGTAGCACGGTTCTCGGACCACGTCGTAGTCGAACCCGTGCGACGGAGCGATGTCGTGGAGGGCGGAGCGCACGCTGTCCCGCTGGTAGGCCTCCTCGTCGTCGGCTTGGGCTTGCATCTTCTGATTCACGTTTTCCGCGGAGAGCGCGCTGGCGACGCCGTCGAGCATGTCTGCGCCGATCCTGGGCGCGATGCGGTCGAGCTGCCACCGCAGGGTCTTCTCGAGAAGCGCTTGGTGCACTCGATGCTCTTCCTGTTGTCGGGCAAGCTGTTCACGGTGATGCTCTTCCTGTGATTGTCTTTGTGCCAGTGCGGCTTGTAGCTCAGTGTTGGCGAGCTGCTGCTGCCGGTGCATCTCTGCCGCGCGCTGGCCGCATCTCTCCAGGAACTGCTCACGTCGATGCTGGTCGTACTCAGTCTTGCGCCGCATCTGCCGCTGGAGAGCCTGGGCCTCGTTGAAGAAGAGTTGGTGCTGCAGGGTAGCCCGTTGGTGCTCCGCTTCTTCGGCCTCGAGCTGGTCGCACTTTTTTCTGGGCGTGGCGCTGCGCCTCGAGCTGGAGATCCGCCTGCTGGTAGACAACCTCTCGCTCCCTCTGGACCGTGGAATGTTCCTCCAAGAGCTTATTGGCGGCAATGGCGGTCTGCTGCTGGATCACATGCTCTTGGTGGATCTCCTCTCGCTTTAAGTCTGCTTGGGCTCCCGCAATTTGATCAGCGCTGTCGTTTTTTCTTTGCATCTCCTGGGCCGCCATGACTTGCACGGCCTGCTCCTCGGGACGGAGGTCCTGGTTCATCTGCTCTATCCTCTGGCCCTCACGCCGCAGTCGTTCGCACTCGCGATGAAGTTGTTCACTCGTCGCTTGCTGGCGAGCTGCTTCCTCGGAGGTTGATGCGGAGCAAGTCTGGGAGGTCGTTCCCGCTCGGATGGCATCGAGCATGCAGTGAGCCTCCTGGCGACTCTGCTCGTAGGTGAGCTTCTGACGCTCGAGGTCGTGTCTCAACGCGCGCTCGTGGCTCTCGATCCCCTGCGCTTCCTGCTGCATCTTCTCGGCGTAGAACTGATGGACAATCTCTTCTCGATGCTGGAACGCGCGCTCTTGCTGAGCCTCTTGGCGGCGGAGTGCCTCGGTGTTCCTTGCCATGGCTTGTTCGGTGGCATTCATGGCCGTCTTGGAAAGCGCCTGCTCGCGATGCACGAGCCTGTCTCTGCTTTGCATCTTCAGCTCGGCAAAGCACTGGCGCATGGCCTCCACCTACTCCTCATATTCTCCTGACGTTTTGCGGGGCTCGGCGTTGGCGACGCCGGCCTGGCCCCCTCCTTCTCGGCGTGCTTCCTGGTCTTTCCTCCTGAGCTGCTCTGCGATGGTGCTTGATGGGGAGGCCGCCCTGCTCGAGCACGAGGAAAGAGGCTCTCGACTGGCGCGACGGCGAAATGGGGTGCTGGCCCTTTTGTTGTCGTGCTTCTTTATGTCGTCCTCGGAGTCGGCCTCGCAATCGGCGTCGGCTTCGGCGGCGATCTCCAGCTGGACATCCGTGATGAGGCGCTGCAAGTCGGAGATGCGCTTGGCGTTGGCGTCCGCGTTTGTCTGCAGAGCCTCTTTTCTCATGGATGTCTTTCTGCTCTTTTGTCAGCGCCTCTATCTGAGACCGATATTGTTGTAGCCGTACGCGTGGATCGGTGGCCTTCGCGAGCATACACTTGATGACCGAGGCCTCCGTTAGCAACTTGCTGGCGTCAACCTTGGCAGACTGGGCGCCGCTGATCTGATCGGCAACACGGCCGAGCCTCTGCTGGAGGTTCCTCGCCCAAAGCTTCCTCATGTCGCGATCCTCTGGCGGAAGGCCGAAGGACTCGTGGTCACGAGAAAGGGAGAAGGCAGCTCGAGCACGGCGTCGGCGATGGCCTGCTGCCTCTTACTGAGGACGTAGTCCTGGATGTGGACGGCGCCCTTCTTTTTTGAAGCAGGTCTGCTCCAAGGACGCTTTCTTTGGAAAGTGGAGCTCCGCCATGGCCATGGTTGCTCCCCCACAGCGGGCCCACGGTGTGTGGCCCCTGCTCCTGACCACCTTTCCCCTGGGCCCTGGGCGGGCGCCTGGGCTGTGGACCCTGCTCCTGTCCACCTTTTCCCAGCGCCGCGCTGCGACGCCTCGAGGTGTGTGGTCCCTGTTCCTGACCACTTTTCCCTCGAGGCGCCGCGCTGCTGCTTCCAGTGCTGCGTCATGGCGTGCAGCTGGTGGCACTGGGGCTGCTGCGCGCTGTGGTGCTTCCCCAGGAGGTCATGCGCTGCAGCGAGGCGTAGTAGCACACGGGCTTGTGCTCGACGCTCACGTGCTCTTCGATGCCACGCGCCCTCCTTGGGCGTGGCTGCGGCTGGTCGCGGCCTCCGCGGCCGCTGTCCTGCGGTTCGGGCGGCACGCCTGAGCCCTGGCCGTTGGGGGGAGGCCGCCGCGGCGGCGAGGGGGCGACGACGAGGCCCCTGCGCGGCGGCCGGCGGGAGCGGCGGCCCCCCCCACTCCTCAGCCAGTGGTTTCCCTCCTCCTCCTCCTCCTCCTCCTCCTCCTCCTCCTCCTCCTCCTATGTCTCATCCTCCTCTTCTCCTCCTCCTCCCCTCCTCCTCCTTCTCCCCCTCCCTCCTCCTTCTCCCTCCTCTTCCCTCCCTCCTCTCCTCCTCCTCCTCCTCCTCCTCTCTCCTCCTCCTCCTCCTCCTCCTCCTCCTCCTCCTCCTCCTCCTCCTCCTCCTCCTCCCTCCTCCTCCTCCTCCTCCTCCTCCTCCTCCTCCTCCTCTCTCCTCCTCCTCTCCTCCTCCTCCTCCTCCTCCTCCTCCTCCTCCTCCTCCTCTGCTCCTCCTCACCCTCCTCCGCCTCCTCCGCCTCCTCATCCTCATCATCCTCGTCATCGTCATCCGCCTCCGCCTCCTGACCTCCACACGGATGGACGGAGGATCGCCTGCCACGTGTCGACGTGTGGCCCCCTCCTTACGGACCACGCACCATCGGGCGGCGACTCACCCGGCTCAGCGCATACCCGGCTCGGCCAATTTTCGAAACAGATACGCTATAACTGTTCAGGGCAGCTTCCCGAATTTTTCCGTCGGCGGCGAGGCAGAATGGCTGCACCAGCGATAGAGCTGAACGGGGGCACCGAAAAGCGAGGTGGCCAGCATGCAGGAGAAGGAAGAGGACGGGCAGGGCGGCCAGCAGCTTCCCGAACACGCCTCAACCGATATGTACAAGGCCGCCACGAGGACCGCGAGCGGCTCCCAGACCGGGTTCGGCCAGAAACAGGCCTTGCAGGAGATCCTGCAGCATCCGACGCTGTGCCTGAGCCTCGTTTGCCCTGTACCCCGGCACCCGCGGGCTGAACACAAGGGACTGTATTGCCGCTCCGGCTCTATCTAGCGTCCTCCCATCTTTCCCAGCCATCCTGTGGTGTTGAGTCCTCGCTTTGAAGATACAGTGCCCCGCGTCACTCCCCACCTCCCTCCTCCTCCTCCTCATCTTCATCCCTCACCTGAGCTACGTATTCGCATCGCAGTCATCACCATCAACATCAACTCCTTCATCACCACCTTCACAATCACCATCACCATCATCATCCTCATCATGATCTGCAGCAGCATCATTATCACCAGCATCATCCGTCATAATCACCATCATGAGCAGCAGGAGCACCAGCATCATCATTATCATCAGCATGATCATCATTATCAGCATCATGATGATCATCATCATCATCATCATCAGCAGCAGCCGCAGCAGCCGCAGCAGCATCACCAGCATCACCACCAGTACCATCAGCAGCATCATCATCATTATCATCATCAGCTTCACTCTGGCAAACCACTCACACGTTTCGTGGCCCCATTGGGAAATCCACTGAAGGCCCCAGTGGCAGCACCCGCATGGCGTCACCCCGCCAATTTCGACAGACCCCTCACACGTCCCGTGGCCCCACAAGAAGCTACACCGAAGGACCCATTGGCAGCGCCTGCATGGCGTCAACCCGCCCGTTGCGGCACACCCCTCACACGTTTCGTGACCACAAAGGGAGCTCCACCGAAGGCCCCAGCGGCAGCGCCCGCGTGGCGTCACAACGCACACTTTGGCATACATCTCGCACCGAAGGCCCCACTGGCAGCGCCCACGTGGCGTCACCCCGACCATTTCGGCACACCTCTCAAACGCTTCGTGACCCCACCGGAAGCCCCATCGAAGGCCCCACTGGCAGCGCCCGCGTTGCGCCACCCCGCTCATGTCGGCACACCCCTCGCACGCTTCGTCACCCCACCATCGTTCCACCTGCCCTGCGGCACTCGCACTGACAGCATGGTTGGGTCCTTCGCCAACCCCAGTCCCTGAAATCCAGACTATTTCCCCAGGGCCGGCTTTTCATCCCGAGCCGTTTTTTGATGAGGAGGCCCTGTGAGGGCCCCCCGGCGCGGACAATGGCCGAAAATCTCCCGTGGTGATCTTTTAACGACCGCCCTGCCCCGCATTCGCCGCTGGCCGTCCGCCCCTTCCCGGCGATC